GGACTGAAAAATATACAGAGAAGTTGAAATATTCATTACATTAATATGAGATAAAAATGGTGCACCAGAACGTTTCCCGTAATTATTCTTCGTCTGCACAGTTCCTTCAAGTGAGTCATAATCCCGTACGTTCTTTTAACTTCACAATGCAGGATTCTTGTAGCTCATTTAAAATTGCATAATCTTAACAGACGATAGACTGTCGTTAATAATTATCCCGATTTACAAAGAATATAAAAATAAGAATTACGTAACGGGAAATAAAGTCAGAGAGAGAAAAGCTAAGAAACTTAGAACAAACATAAGCGAGAAATGTGGCTCTGATCGTGAAATTGCACTCTGAAAAATCTGCCTAATATAATAGCCAATGTCCGTCAATATCTGGCTGTACGAGAGCGCCGTTCGTGCGATGCGGGAAAAATTAGAATTAATATCTGTGTGACTGTGAAAGCAAGATATATAAAATGAGGATGCGATGGCGAAGTCTTCTGAGGTCAGGCGGTCGCATTTTCCTTGTTGTGTTTGGTATAAATCTGGCTTCAGTAGCCCTGAAGATGATTTTACACTTAATTAACATTGTAAAGGAATTTCAATAATGAGTTTGCAAAGATAATTCTACTATAAACTATATTACTATTCAGCACAAAAATTTTCATTCCCGTAAACTTTTACGGGTCACACCACAATAGTTGTTTTAGTATTTTTACCGTCGTTAAGGTGTATTTTAGTGATGAGAATGGAATTACTTAAAAAATTAAGATTTTACCGCCAAATCGCAGTGACCATTTTATCAAAAGAATTTGAAGAAAATCGAATTTCTGATTTAAGTGAGGCGGAATCAATTGTAGTTTAAGACAAATGAAGATTATACGAGCAAACTGCCGCGCGTCTATCAGCATCTTCCCGGAATCACAAAGAGTTCACACATAGGAGAGTCACAAATTATTTCCCGCGCAGCGAAACACTGTGAAACTTCTGTCAAGTCTAGGACTTGATTCAGTTCCCAAAGAGACAACGTTCATTGCGTTTAAATATTCAACATTTCTGCTGCTGATTACGAAACATTTGGGAGTTTGCGTGAATTCATTTCAACTTCACCGAGTAAGCAACTTCAAGCCTCTTCGTTAAGATCGCTGAAATCCCGTTTAATGTGAGTTAGCATTTCGACACTTCTCTCTCTTATTTATATTCATTTTACCTCTCTTGTGTTGTTGTCTTATCACACTCTGCTTACACCTTTATATTCCTTTAATATCATTGGCCCTAAAACGAAAATGTTCCATAATATTTTTAAATAAATAATACAAGTAGGTTATTGTTCTCAGATATCCCTTTTCGGACAGAGAAAAGCCAAAAATTGATGAAATTTGATGGGAGAACAGTACATTATATTACATAATTTCCACTTGTAGAATTTGAGGTTTTCAGCGCGATTTTAATATATATGGTGGTCTTATTGGTTCGTGTACTCTAACATCCCACTGATGCTATATTTATAACTGTCTATGCAACTTATAAGATGGACACCCATTTAAAATTACAAGCCCAACGTACGGTATCACATTCATATTCACACAGGCTGTAATGATTTTAGGTACATACTGAATCACCACATATTAAAGATGGTTACCTTATTCAGTGAATCTGTTATGCAGTGTAGTCTGATACAAGTTTATTAGGCCGACGTTTCAGAGATCAGTTTAGCCTCCGACATCAAGGCGACTTGTCAAATGCACAAAAACAAAACCAACTACAGACTCCCCCCCAAAAGCAGAATCTGCCGGATCCCTAAATAGGTGGAATCATAGCCTAGTTCGCATTTCTTGCTACCAGAGTCGCCATTGTCAGAACTCAATATAAATTTTCTCCACGTTACTCGAATAGTTAGACGTTGACAGACAATGGCTATTATATTAAGTGTATATATGTATATTTTAAATATTTCGTCAGAAATAACAAGAGATATGTAAAAATAACTTAATGAATTCGCCACGTGTAGGTCGAGTAAATAAAGGAAAAGTTTTTGTAAGATTTTATATCCAACAACTGACATTCAAACTGGGATTAATTTTGTTTTTCGTGGAACGCACAAGCCAACATCAAACATCATGCTTTGCGAGTACGCAGGAATTCAGTTTCCATTTAATTTTCGGTTTGTAAACACACATTTTTGTTTTAATTCAAAGAGTTCTTTTTTTTTCCTATCGCATTTCAATTCCAAACGCAGCAATCCCGAAAGAGTAACAGAGACGAGCGGACAGGCCGCATGGAATCTAAAATTATGTTATTTCCCTGCTTTGTTACGATGAACCACGGAAGATAAAAGAGAGTTTACTCTGCGCGATTTAAACGGGAGAGAAGTAGCAAATGATAACCAAACTCTGTCAGTAGAAACAGAAAAGAGAGCGCAGGTTTAATATTTAAGTAGAAATCGTTCATAATATACGAAGCTAAAAAGACGATATAACATAAACACAGAGAAAACTGCATAATTAGGAGGTAATTAAAAATTATTCGACGGACAGAACATGTAGAACGCAAGGAGAGTAAATAGAAACTGTAGTGGGAAACAAAGAAGGCGTGGGAGAAAATTGTAAAATATTAAAAACTTTCTTAAGCAATACAAAATTAGTTTATTGAACCGAGTATAAAGTCTTCATTGTCTGTTTTTAAAATCATTGTATTGAGATTTTTATTTAAAGAACCAGGGAATTTCTGACTTTAAGCTTTAATCCAATATACGCCCTATTAAAAATTACATGTTTTTATTCAGTGGACACGTTCATATGAGGGACATTAAACAGACAGTCACAGCTCAGATTTTACTCAGTTTCTCCACACGAATATGAACAAGGTAACTTTAAAACATTCAAATCTATTAAGTCCAAAATTAATTAATATATTATTCATATTTAAGTTTACATAACATTCAATAATGTACAACCTGTGCAGTAGATACAGTGTTGTCAAACAGTAAAAAACAAAGGTGGCTGTATTCGGGAGATTTTGTCAAATCTAAGCAGTAATCAACAATATGAAATTTTTTTGTGAAGTCAAAAACATTCCATAATCTTTCTATTGAATTCTGTTGACCCGTTTTCATCACGTAGTCGATAAAAATTAGGTAACTGAAATCAGAAATCGATTAAATGACGTTAGAAATTTCCAGCCAAGTCAGTGGTCTGATTCTATGTAAAATTCAATACGAACAGCGCCATTTGCATTTGCGATGTCACGTAATTCATGGAGCCAAATTTATTAGCCCATTAATCTTTTAAATCCCGGTGGTAATTATATGTACCACCTGTTTTAACAATCAGTAAATCTGCATTTCGTATTTAAAACTTTCGCGTGGTTCTCAGAATAAACCACGATTATTTCCTTAAACAGCGTTAACCAGTTGATCGCTGTAATGGTGAAGTACGGTGTTTTCTTCGCGGTACGGACTGGATTCTTAAATATTATTTAGGAGACCTTCGGATTCAATAGTCATGAACTAGTAAAGACAAACTCCACCGTCTCTCTTAAATAAGCTCTCATTATTTATCACCCTGAAGTTTTAATTCGTTTCTTTTTTTACCTTATACGAAGGACAAGCGGTCATTGCCTAGAAAGCTTCTGCTATAAGATTCTTTTTCCTCTCCCCCCCCCCAAAATAAAGCGTCTCTCACCCCCACCCCAATTTTTATTTGTAAAATTTTAGGTTTTCACTTTTTATGAGTCTGAAAATGGTTGTCTTGTGGGTCGTAGCACCGTGTAGTCTGGTAGACGTTTATCGACGTTTCAGAGGGCAGCAGACAACCATCTTCAGGTTTCTCTGTTTCTACACTTTTACTATCCTTCCTAATATTCTCCCTCTCCCTCTCTCTCCCTCTCTCCGGCTGTAAAGAGTAACATTAAATCTACACGATGGAAGAGAAGCGAAAAGAAATTATTTATTCCTTTCAAAACTTAAACAAATTGCACGCAACTTTTTTTCCCGTGGCCTACAGCGACAGACCTGGACAGATTTGATCAACGTAAACATGTTGTGATTGCAGGAGCAAGGTGGCCGCGGCGCTTCTCAACAAACACCTGCAGATCAACGGAATCAGCGCTGGAATCACAGCCTTGCAGCAGCCAATCAACGGCGACGTCATGCCCGGAGTTGTATCCGGATCCGGTGGCCCGGAGTCCGTGTCAGAGCCCATCACCAGCAGCAGTAAGATGAAGCGAGAGAGGAAAGCTGCCCGCACCCTCGGAATCATCATGTCGGCCTTCCTCGCGTGCTGGCTTCCGTTCTTCTTATGGCAAGTTTCCGGTTCTTCCGAGTTTGACTACCGGGGTTCGGTTCCCGGCACTCCTAAACATTTTCCTCTTCGTCGCCATTTCCAGACCGACTCTGGGGTCCATTTGTCCTGTATCTAGTAGGTGCCGGGAACTGTTTCACCAGGTTAAAACAGCCGAAGCGTTGAACTACTTATCTCGTGCTGGTATCAAAATAATGAACGTTGCTCTTCGCGAAATGGTTCCTAAGCACAGAGCCATTTTAACTACACCACGTTTAAACTGCTTTGTAAACACGTGTTAGAAGTACTTGCTGTTGTAATGATTTTACGGTTCTGAAGGATTTAACATTGAAGTATTAAGCTAAACTTTTCTGTAACAGCAATAAATCTACAACTTCATCAACGATTGACCTAGCAGAGGCTGAAGAATGTGATGGTAGTTCTCATCTAGAATCGGTCCGTAATCAATCACATTACTGAGTTATCCCGGAAAACCGCAGTTCAGAATATAATATTAATATGTATCTTAAATAAGGTGCGAGGATGTGGATTTGTTGAAATGTATAAGGACCAACGGTGAGGTCTTTCGAACATCCAGTTCAAAAGGGGAAAAATTGGGGAATTGCTTGAACAGCAAAGCAAAATCTTTTAGTGGAATATTTCCGAATTTTCTGTTCCAGTCAGATTTTCGGCTGGACCTACGAAGTTAACTCGAATTTCTGGCAATAGAACAGGTTCTGTCAATCAACAGATGTTATCTCGTCTCGTGACTCGCATTGTCCTTCTGTCGTTTGAATAGAAGTCAAGTCACGAGGACACTGCGATACGACATTTCTTAGGGTGGGCAATCAGTCAAACTGTCTGGACCATCCACCTGCTTTGAGTTTCCACCAGCCCAGTGCTTGGGTTCAGTTACACAAGCTCTCTCTTCCGCCCAAATCACAAGGACAAAATACTGCTTTCACACAATCTCGTCAATGGTTCCTTGTGATCGTGGACAGCCGATAATAGGTGGTCTTACACTTGAGGGTTAGATATGAGTCCCAAAATTCTTTTAATCTCTTAATCATAATATTTCCAATCCTTTATAACTATCATACTTGATCTGTATTACATCTTTCAGCCATATTTGGAATTAAAGATCACATTTAAATGAGTCAACGCCTCCTTTCCGTTACAGGTACATCATCACGACCCTCTGCGGAGACAAAGTGTGTTACTGCCCCCCTGTGGTTGTAGCCATCGTCTTCTGGATCGGGTACTTCAACTCCGCGTTGAACCCACTTATCTACGCTTATTTTAACCGAGAGTTCAGAGCGGCTTTTAAGAAGACACTCCAGTCCTGCTGTTATCACATCTTCTTTGTCAGATCACCTGACAGAAATGGATTTTGCATAAATACATGCAGAGGACGCGGTGGGTGTAGTGTTCGAGAAGACGGTAGTACCACGAGAAGAGATATATCTAATAGTAATGCATCTTCGGAGATCCACATGAACAATCATTTGAGATCGAATGGAAGAGGGGCAAGAGATTCATCTGGCAGTGGAGGTATAGTGCAGAACGTCAGTGACGTAATAGATTTCAATGGCGTAGAGTCGGAGGATGTGATTTAACCCTTTAAAGCTTTAACAATCAGAAACTTTGCATTTTGTATTTATTTATTTCGTATGACTATCACGGTGAACAGCGATTAGATCCTTAAACAGCGTCAAACAGTTGATGTTTGTAGCGGTGAAATGTGGTGTTTTCTTTGCGGTACGGACTGAATTCTTAAATATTATTTGGGCAAACTAAGGATTTAATGGTGCTGCTGTTCTCTACCGAAAGTTTGCGTAAGCTGTATTTTATGTTCAAAGATATTTTGAAAAAGAAAAATATAATATTCTACTCGAATTCTGTGGATAGTCACAATAATATATTTATATACGGAAATCGAATATTAATTTCACAGAAAATTTCGGAGACATTCGAAGAGAAAACAAATCAAGTTGTCGGCCAGTGATACAATTTTTCCAAATTCCATGGAAGACTCAGGATTGTAAGATGAGCGCTTGTCCGTTTCGACTGACACATTTTGATATAATTTTATATAAGAAACTGTGATTAAGAATTCTTAATGAAGGGTTTATATGCATCTGTGGACACACTGCCTAACAGATTTTGTCATATTTATTGTAATTGGTGAAATAATCACGATATCGAGCTTACACTGAATTGAATCACATTAAATAAATACAAACGCTACATGAATGTAACCAGAATAATGAAGTGCGTTTCTCGCGTATCTGGTCAACTATTATGCACACAATTTCGTAATGGCGTTAGTTAATTGTTATAACGTACTTTAAGGTCAAGAACTTCATAGCCAAAAAATAACTGAAAGAATCATTTGAAAATTGTGGGAAAAAATCATTGAAATTTCTCAGAAGTTACGTTTTCGTACGGTGTACGGACCAGTAGGAAATGATTCTCATAACGATATGTCGCCGTGATTACTTAAATGATGCATACCTCGTCTTTGTATACACTTTGTTTCGCATTTAAATTATTCAGGATATGTAATACATTTCTAGAATAATTAACACGTACGTTCAGTAAATAAAAGAACACGTAAGAAATATGTCCACTAGATACTGTTATCAGTGTGTACGCTAATGTAATAAAACATTAACGCAAAGAAACATTTCAAACACATATTATTTTTATTCACAAGTGGTATAGAACTTATGAAACGCTCTGTCTATAAAATAAATTGTGGAACCTTGTATCTGAGTACATTTAGAAAGGCAAAAATTAATTAGTGGGTTAAGCTGTGTTATTCTTTAAAATTTTCCGGGGGCATCCGGTCGATTAAAATTCTCCGATTCAACTCCAGGTTTGCAGTGTTGCAGGACTCCTCCTCTGACTTTCTGGCTAACATTCTTCGTGTCGACAAAGCACTGTTTCTTCTTATTGTAAGATTATATTTTCCACCTCCTATCTAGAACCATAAGAGACATTGCGATTAAAAATGTCACCTACTAGGAACCAATTCCCGGTCATCCCGCAATGTGGGCGAACGCGTTGCCAATTGAACTGTCGAAAAGACAACCAAGTGACCTCCTATTACAAGTCTTAAGAAGTAACACCATAGATTAAAACGACGTTACAAAACAAAACAAGCCAGCAAGTCAGAGGAAGGTCTACTGAAGACCTTGTCAAATCGGAGATATTCAATCGAGTAGGTTTCATTCTTAAGAATATCCAAGGTCTATTAGAAACAATCTCCAACAATTTTTAATATTATCATTAACAATTGAATGTATGTCCTCGACGGACGAAAAACATTCTTTCATCTGTCACAATTGTTCGTCAAAATAATGAGACGTAGCAGATGTTCCCTTCATAGTCTTTGCTTAGTTAGCTCCTGAAAATTCAGTCTGTAGTGTAATAATTTCTTATCTGTAGTACTTGGTGGCAGGCAAAATTCTGCTTTACTCCTGAACGAAGTGATTGTGATGCTCAAACCAAACACAACGCAACACAAGTGGGAAGCCGTCAGTCGACAACAATTTTTGGCAATATCACTAAATTGAAGTGCGGGAGACCTAGCTGTTCTTTGCATCTCTCTCGAGTACAATTGAAGAAATAGCCAACTACTAGTTTTTTTACAACACACTGTAAAATTCTGTACACACTTCACAAGCACAGAATATTTTATTATTTTATTTAGAATGTAAAATAATCAACCTATAAAGTTTAAAGTTTGGTTACAAATTAAGTGAACAGTTAACGTACACTGGGAACACCAAAGTTAATTCGGCAGACATCGAAATACTGTGGAAATTGTTACTAAAATATTTCACTGCATTTGTAGTCGGTGCTTCTATTCAACTGGGCGAGTTCAGAATGGAAATTATAAAAATAAAAAGTAATAAAAGTTTAAAACAACGCTCGGTATATCAACATTTTAAAGCACAGTAATTTATTTAATATAACTTTTTATTGAAGGTCAAACTTTCGCTAATGTACATCTTAGGCTCATGTACCATTGGATTCGATAATCGACGTACTAGGAGAAAAAGATTAAACTAACCTATACCAAAAAAAAATAACCCACATAATAGATTAAAACTGCCAAGCAGAACCTGAAAATTTTATTATTGTGGGTCAGAAAAGTTTCCCTGTTAAAAAATTCTTAAGTATAATATTTTATTCAAGAGGCATTTGTCTCTCAGTTATAGAACACATTTGGAATATAAACCACTTAATTAAAATCTGTCCATGTTGTGCCAAGTAAATAAAACATAAAGTAATTTACATGTAAATTCATTAATTCGATCAATCGTTTTCAATTTGGACTTTGACTTACGTCATTTTATGAAAACGTTTACACAGCCTACACCGAAATCTGACTAACAAAAGAAAACGTAATTCTCAATAAGTAATTCCCACCAATCGCAACGACATAATTTTTATTTCAAGAGCAATTATTTGCTTTATCGAAAAGTTGAATCAAACGTCCAATGATGACATTCCACGATGTGTAATATTTTCTATGGTGTTAACACGGTTGCCGTATAACAGCCTTACTAAAAATCAGAACAAAATTATCAATGCGAAACTAAAAATTAACTTACACAGCAAACGTATTACACTAAATCAGACATTTTAACATTATTTCAAAATACAAAAGAAATTATATCGAGCCAAGACCATATGTTATTAGTTCGCGTAATAATGACGTATGAAAATTCAATATTCACATTTAACTCAATTTCGTTAATCTAAAAGCAGTCTTTTGTTTGTTACTGACAAGAGCAATTGTTTTTGTCGAATACGAGGCCAAATCAATTGTGGTCTGCTTACGTACTGCACATACAAATGGAGTAATACAAGGTGTTCTTACGTCATGATCTCGTTGTAATTTAATATGTTACACCTCCATGTAATAACCAACTACATGCATGAATCAGGGTGATTTTCGAAACAATAATAGTTGCTCAACTAGTCAAGATATTCTTTACCTTTCATGAAACTCCAAGCTTCTCTCCTGTGTTCACATCAGCCCGGCGATGAATCCTGTCCCAGGCTCAAAAAATCCAGTCTTCATCCTCACACTTTATGTAAAACATTTTTAATATTATCCTCCCTTATATGCCTGTATCACCCAAGTGATAACTTCTCTTCAGGTTTTATATGTACTTATCGTGTCTCCCATACGTGTTATTAAATAGGGCTTCAATATTTAATGTTGACTGGAAATAAGACATGTGATATAAACCAAACATCTACGAGGCGCGTCCACAAAGTAAGTTTATATGTACTTATCGTGTCTCCCATACGTGTTATTAAATAGGGCTTCAATATTTAATGTTGACTGGAAATAATACGTGATATAAACCAAACATCTATGTTCTACCTGTAATTAAGAAGTGTATATAGTGTTGTATAGAGAATAGGCTATGTAAAAATATGTATATCGGTTTTAAATATTTGTAAAATTGTCTGTAAAGAGTGAGTACATAGGTGGTCATAATACATATTAACAAAAGCCATTTGTTTCATAACTCGTTAATAAACGTGTGCAGATAAACTGTCAACTCATTTACAATACGAACACCAGAATATATTGATTGCTAAGCGTGTTTCTAATTCACAATAGCTCTCGCTACTAACAACGTTTAATTAAGAATGTTTACAGAATTGTCAGTAAATCATTACCTGTAACTAAGAAGTGTATATAGTGTTGTATAGTGTTGTATAGAGAATAGGCTATGTAAAAATATGTATATCGGTTTTAAATATTTGTAAAATTGTCTGTAAAGAGTGAGTAAATAGGTGGTCATAATACATATTAATAAACGCCATTTGTTTCATAACTCGTTAATAAACGTGTGCAGAAAAACTGTCAACTCATTTACAATACGAACACCAGAATATATTGATTGCTAAGCGTGTTTCTAATTCACAATAGCTCTCGCTACTAACAACGTTTAATTAAGAATGTTTACAGAATTGTCAGTAAATCATACGAACGCGCAGGAAATAGAATGTAATTACATCCGAAATATTATTTTAACAGTTACTAGAATACGAACTATTGTAGCTTTGTTGTTACTTTATTTTAAGACAAATTGTATGATCAAAAAAAAATGGAATGTTTTTATCTCCATAGCAACATTACATAATTTTAAAATATATACTTATATCAAGGTATGCGTGTCTCAATTTAAAAATCCAATTAATATTAATTTAATATTATTTGTTTACACACTTCGTGATATACAGAAATATAATATAATTTTAGAAGTCTTTCACAATATCAGGTAATTCAGACATGGAGAATAGGACCAAAATGTCCAAAGACTGATCAATGACAAGTGTTTTTGAAAGAGAGAAATTTAATCAAACTTCTATTTCACAAATGATGTACAGATAAACAAATCGACCATCTACATTAACAAAATTTAAGATAAGTGATCAATTTTATTAGTGAAGAAAAATGTTCCGGATTTCATAATGCATTGTAACAACTGGAACAGATCTCAAATATTTTTCTGAAGTTAAAAAATATATATGTTGAATGACGACCTCCATAACCCTAATTCTTGTTGATATAAAAAAAATGTGCTGAACAATCACGATGAAACAAGCTCACGTATCGTCAATTGAAGAGAATATATGGAAACGAGGCTTAATATAAAATAAATGGTATTTTAACTATTCGTACAATGAAAAAGGTTAATAAAATATCACTTCTTGTTAGGAGATTAAAGTTACATAATCCACATAAGTTACGAGCACTGAAAATTTCAGTGTCCGTGGTTAGCATTCGTTTAAAAATTAAATGTTGTAAGATATCAGAATTATGTATCGACACTTCATGGGTAGGTTAGGTATGTACGTGTGAAACATACTGTTTGTGATGTACATTGCGACATATCGATATATATTTATCGATTATCCCTTAGTAGCATATTCGTTGTACACGCCAAATACCGATCCATACAGAATGTGAGAAAAGGGAGTTACTCGTACATTTCCTATCCTCATTACTATTGATTGTTGTTAGTTTTAACAACCGTGAAAGTTCCATGCAATGAAATAGGGTAACTGTAATTACCCCAATGTGTTTATAATGTACATTTTCTTACATTTATTTCAACCTTGTACATCTGTCCTTCAGTGAAATAAATATATGTATTTGATATAAGCTGACTTGACTTTACTTATCTCACAGAGACTTTCCTAAAGCGAACACACAACAGCGAATAATGCCTCTTCTGGCCCCTGCACCCAGACCGGCTCTGGGGCCCACCCAGTACAAAGGTCCTTTCCAGGGGGTAAAGCGTGGACGGAGCGTGACGCTGACCACTCACCCCCAAATAGTGCCGAGGTCAAGACTTCTGTTACAGCGATATTATATGCAACTAAATGTTGAGTCCAATAGGTTTTCCGACCTTAAAAAACGAGTTTACAGTTATTGAACATTTGCCTTATTATGGTTAACAGATCCAAAGAAATCATTAAGAGGCATAAATTGATATACCAACACTCTTCAAACAGAACAACAACAACACTTTTTTGTAATTGCCCCCTACAGATAAAATTCTGAGCCAGTTTTATCCACTTTCCGTCCTCATAATTTGTTTTCCAAAAAATAATGCACAACTATGATTTTCTAGATCTTCCAAATAGTTTCCAAATAAAATTCCGTATTTATCCCTATTTTCTCCCATCTTCATACTCAGTCCTTCGTAGACTGGAACATTTCACCTCACTAAAAATACCAAATTGCCTATATAACACGAAGTTTCTCATTATAGTGTATAACATCCAAAATCGGTCATTTCTTTCTTAGCTGTTAGATCCTAATAATATCCTGTAAATCTTGTTTTCAGAGACTTGCAATTACATTCTTTCTTACCTAATAGGAAAAGTCCATTTTTCATACCCACACGTAAAAAATATCAAACACTGATAATAAATCTCAGTTAAACTAACCTAAACCAAATAGGATTTTAGGTTGTCACAGTGGTGAGTACGAAGTTGGCTGTCTTCTGGGTTGTAGCGCTCCATCACTAACCTGATGATGGCGGTATGACCTCTGAAACGTCGGTAAACTTCCATACTACACGGATCTACAACCCAGAAGACAGTAATCTAACGTAACCAAACCTATTGTGCAGCAGAATTCGGATTAAACAGTCCACAATCTTTAAGAATTAATTTCGGTCGCAGGTAAGTAACCGCTGTAGTCATAAGAGTCGTTTCATAAACACCACTCACAGTCTTGTATTTGGAAACTATCACTAACCGTGCTTTTTGATACTTTTGATAAATGAACTAAATACGTAATTATATTATTCGTCACGTGATCTATACGCCATTATTTCGAAACACATTTTCGCGTCACCAATACACACAACTTTATAGAATTCGTGTAACGTAATACACTAACTAATGTCATTAATCGCGCCATAGAACACAAACACAGCGCCCGCGATCAGTCAAGCAACCGACCAATAAAAACGTGACAGTCATGCAACCCATCCCATTCTCCACAGTTTACCCTATCTAGGCGCGTATTACGTCCCTTCATGCTGTGATGAATGAACGCTGGATAGGGTTTATTAGACTCAGCAGCGCGTCCAGAGATGAAAACGATGAGATGGTTTCCGTGGCAATGAAAGTAAAACAATTCTCTCACGAGAGAAAGCATAAGTGCATGCAGGCGTAGACCCTTTGGAGAAGGTAATAGTTGATCAGAATCTATCACCATTGTACTATGAACCCAAAAATTCAATACTCTTTTTCACAAGACCCCAAAACCGATCCCCAATCTTATTTAATTTAGATCCATTTTAATAATATCCTCTCTAGATCATAAAAGTGGTCTCTTTATTAAAGGATTCGAGACTAATATTTTATGCATTTCTGATACCTCTGTTATTCGTTCTATATGACTGTCCAATCTAATATTTCACTAAAAGTAACTTTCGTAATAAGAGAATATTCAGTCCGGATATTAATACTGAAATTCCTAGCTACGTTTATATTTGGAAATTATTCATTAAAAACCATGGGATTTGGGTTTAATTAATGAATCTGGAAATAAAAAACATAGCAAGTCACATAGGGGGGAAAAATAAGTCCCGCGTGTTTTATAAACTCGGGGTCAGTATTAGCAAAATTAGTTCGTCGTAATGGAAAAAACATTAATAAAAACTTTTGAAAATGAGTCGATCTTTGATTTAAAATGTATGATACGTCTCACGATTCATCATATAAACCAGGGCTTTTAAAATTCTTAACACAGTGAATTATAAATCTTGTTTCCATTTCATAAATTAGCCCTATATGAAAACATAAATGGGGTATTAAAATATTGCATTTACGTTAACGTAATTAACTTTCTGCGCGTATAGAACGAGAGATATGCACGTACTAAATATTTAGTCTGCTTTTTCGGTCAATTTTACGTTTTTAGAACAAGATTTGACGTCAGATATCATACTAATGTTATCTTGACTTTAAACAAATGTCCGCCAATTTACACTGAACAACACAGCCTACCCTCATTACATCAGACCAATTAAAAAGTTCTATAACATAACCTATAACGGACATTTAACTGTATGAGATTTCAGGTTCTCAGGGCGACGAGTATGGGATGTTGCGTCGAGTAGTTTGGTAGATATTAACGGAGGACTCAGAAGATCTGTCTGCCTCCATAATCAGGGTCATGAATTACATTTTACTAAGTGTTTATTTCTATTCCATCAAGTCTTTTGAATATGCAAAGGAAAGTGGATTTAAGTATCTCAGGGGATTACAACCCCACAGAATCCTTCTCGAGATGCAATTAGGAGAATAGGTGTAGGGGGGGTGTCGGTATTTTAGTTCATGTGTGGACGAGCGAATTACTAACTGCGTGCGTGAGTCGAGTCAATTACTGACTAATTCCTACCCCATTAATTACACATTCTCGAGCATATGAAATCAGTAATCCCACTGTAGCCTAAAATAGTGCTGTCGGTGATTTCTAACCCCCCGTGCAGGGGTCTCAGAAATCGTCTAGCTATTCCTCTGCACATTAAGATTCTTAACGAATAACCTCCACTTCATGTTGCATCGTCTTTACGTGTGGTCACTGACCTGTTTTTATATTAATCAGCGATCATTTTCTTAAACAGCGTTAACCAGTTGATCTATGTAACGGTAAAGTCTTGTGTTTTCTTTGCGGTACGGACTGGATTATTAAATATTATTTAGACGAGCTTAGACTTCAAAGGGTTAATGATGCAATA